GAATTATAATAAAGAAAAATGAAAAAGAAAAAAATGGAAGAATTTAAAAGCTGTCCATTTTTATTTTTAATCATATGATATTTGGAAATAGCGGGGGGGAGTCTTCAGATGAGTGAGGAACTTACGTACGACAATACTCTATGTCAAAAATGAACAGAAAGGTCGTTAATGAGCGGTAGTTACAGTTGTATTAAAACTAAATAAATGTGGGTAACCATCATCCAGCTCTTTGCATCCACTGCTGCACATAGGCCTCCCTAATTTTTGTCCATTGTGCTCTATCTTGAGCACTTTTCATTAAATTTCTTGACATTTTCTTGAGATCGCCAGTCCAACGTGTAAGGGGTCTTCCTCTACTTCTTTTGTCTAACCTCGGCCTTCACTCAAGCAATCTCTTCGTCCACCTTTCATCACTGACTCGGGCGACTTGTCCGGCCTAGTTCCATTTCAAAGTGGCAATTCGGGAAATTATATCGGTAACTCTTGTTCTTCGTCTTAAATATTCATTTCTAACTCGGTCACGAAGCGACATACTCAGCATTGACCTTTCCATTTTCCTCTGTGCTATTTGCAGCGTTTTAGAACTTGTAGCTGGAAATGTCAAAGTTTCGGCGCCATGGATCATCACAGGAAACACACATTGGTCAAATGTTTTACGTTTTAAAGAAATTGGTATATCGCTTTTAAAGATGTCTTTCAGTTTTTCATAGGCTGCCCATGCTAGGTTTATTCTGTCTAGGTCTCTCTTGTGATCTTTATTTCGTATCCAAGCTATATGTATTTTTCCACCAGCTCTACTTCGTTGTCTCCAATATTGATATTTCCGCTAGGTACTAGGTATGTCATGAATTTTGTTTTGGAGATGTTTATTTGAAGACCCACAGTGGCACACACTAACTGAAGTTCATGTAGCATTATACATATCTCCTTGAGGTTATCCGAGAACAAAACTATGTCGTCTGCGAATTTCAAATTTGTTAATCTGCTACCGTCAATGTCCAGGCCTTTGTCTTCCCAGTTAAGTTTTTTACAAGCATATTCTTGTACTGCGGTAAACAGTTTAGGCGATAAGGTATCACCCTGTCTGACTCCTATGCCGATTGGGATATGACCCGTGTTTTCATGTAGTTTCACCGACATGAATGCGTGCTTGTATGTATTGTAAATTAACCTTGTATGTCGGTGGCTTATAGTCCTTCCAGGATTTTGTCAAATTCTACCGTGTCAAAGGCTTTAAGGAAATCTACAAAAGCCAGAACAAGTGGTCGATTGTATTCGATAGTTTTTTCTATTACTGTTTTATTGCTCTGTAGGTGATTATTTGTTCTAAATCCGGTACAAAATCCTGCTTGCTCAATTGGCTGGTAGAAAGTTTTTTCTCAAGGCGATTCGTTACTATTCTTGTAAGGAGTTTGTGTAGGTGACTAAGAAGGTTTATACGTCTGCAGTTTTCTAATTCATGGGGATCTCCTTTTTTATACAATAGAATTACCTCAGCATCGTGCCATATGTCGGGTATATTACTGTCCAAAAGGCACATGTTAAAAAGGTTTTTTATTTTCGTAAGTAGGCAAGTGCCTCCGATTTTGATTGCATCAGTACACCTCTTGAGTATGGCAAGGAAAATTGTCAACATTTGGAATTTGTATCACTTATTTCACAATTCCTCGTCGACTAAATCTGTGTTAGAGGAGGCTCTGTTGTAGTACCATTCATCCAGTCTCTAAGATGTATGCATATAGTCTGTAATCTTCTGCATCAAAATTGATTTGAGGTACTTTGAAAATGCGATTTCTTATGTCAGCTTTTCTACAATTTTTAAAGTAACTTTGATCAAATGAAAGGCGGATATCGAGCACATATTATTAATTAAATCTTGCCTAATCTTGCATATTCATCACAATGTTTTCTTCAACTTAATGTTTCAAATAACATCAGATATTTCTCCTTTACTTATATTAGCAACATTTCCAATAAAATATCTAAACTTTTTACTTCTACAATTAAAAACATCAAAATTTCCTTCAAGTCACACAACATTTTAGGTTCCTTTTTAATCAACACCAAAGATAGGATGAACAGACTTGACAAAAGTGGTATTTATAAATTAATATGTAATGATTGTGATGCTTATGTAGGTAGAACTATTAGAAAGTTATCTACTAGAATTTCACAACATTTGAAAAGACCAAATTCTTCAAGTTTTGGTCAACACTTATTATCCAGTAAACACAATCTTAACATCAATACTGGTTTATCTATTTTACATGACATTAATAGAAAGAAAAACGGAGTTGGATTTATTGGAAGAATTGAAGATTACAAAGGAACAAATGGAAACTCTCACTGTCTTAATACTCAAATTAATTTAAATTGTACTAAATTTAAACCTATTTTTAAAAACTTTATTTTATTACAACACTATTTTATTCTTCAATAATTTACAAAACTAGCTTGCTCAAGTTCAGTTGATATATAGTTGGCATTAATTACACTCTCCATACCTCAGTTGTATATTTCAACATCTCCCACTGTTGGTCAGTTGGTCTTGAGTAATGCTTTGACATATTAATTTTATAGTTCTCACATTGACTGTTTGTTTAACTGACCTACTTGGATTATACCCCATTTATATACTCTGCTTTCAATTTTGATTTTTAATTTTTAGTATTTTAATTTCATAGTCACATTTCTTCTTTTCTACAGTCACATTTTGATGGTGCTTGGTAGACCCTTTTATTGTAGTCAACCACCCACTGTCTAATATATTGTTTAGTCTATTTCTTGCATTCATACATTACGTCCACTTCAGTTGCCCTCAAACTAACACCCTAATTATTATAGACAGATTTGAGTGTGAGATCTGGATTATGCAATATACTTAAAATATTCTGTAAAATATTTTATATTATGTTCTATAAAATATTCATAGAATTTTGAAATGTGCAGATCACATCTCCATGATTGTGACTACCCATCCAAGCTGTCATATGTCACATCTCACCTTAACATTTTCGTTAAGACCGGGAGCCATTCTCTCTCCTGATGCCGACCATAATGTAGCTCGTCCTATTTTTAAAACTTTAAACTGTTTGTCCTTGTGTAGTATAGTATAATGTACAATTTTATGTTTATGGCATTATATGTTTGTTGGATAGGCCAAAATTGACGAAGTAAGTCAACCACCATTAACTTCGAATTTTTCATCGAAGTTAATTAATTTTCTTTAGTTAAAAAAAAACGTTTCTAGGCTTATTTCAGATGCCTCTGAAGATGCTCTAGGAAATGAAAGTATTTGGGCAAGATTTAATTAATAAACTGCTCGATATCTGCCTTTCATTTGATCAAAGTTCATTTATTCGACCATTCAACCTTATATCAATTTTTTAAATTCTTCTGAGAGCAATCCCTCTAATACGTTGACCTGAATCTGTTAATATAGAAATTATAATGTGTTCTGGGTGCGCAAAATAAGCATTGTCTTTAATAACTTTAATGATAATTGATGACCCATTATTCAGAAAATCTCTTAAGACCTGGATTAATGTCTGAAGATACCTGACAGCATATTCCAATCTTGGCCGTGTTTTTATCTCAAACCACATACGAGAATATACTTTTATTACAAACTCGGCTAAAATTTTTAATATAGCTAGTAATATCTATGGCACGAGACTGGCTAAGAGCTAAATGTCTAAAATATAAACTACCTGGTTCTTCATTTAAAGTCATATGCTATTCCGTTTGATCTTTTCTTCATTCGAAGTATAGATCTTCAATTGACTTTGTTAAATTTCTTAAATTTTTGTTTTTATGTTGGGGTTGCCGCGTTTGTTTTCCTTAACTCCTCTCCGAATTTTATTTTTTGTAGATGACCAGCGCTGTATTATCTTTGTAAATTAAGTTTAGATCGTCTAAAACGCCATTTGCAATTTTTGCAGCGGCTTTATTAGACACATTTATCAAATCGGCAGCGTTAGAAGTCTGAGAAAGATAAGTCTTTTTTCCAGTTGATTGTATTATCTTTAAAATGCGTTAGGCTTTCACGGTCATCATCTAACTCGTTAAATTGTTTGTTCGTTCTGTTAGGCCGTTGTCTTCTGAGATTAGTTCTCGAAGTTTCGCCAACACTAAGGATTGGCATTTTACTGCTTCGTTTGTAAGCTTGTAAGCGAAGCAGTAACGTCTCCAGAAAATGCCAACCCCTAGTGTTGGCGAAACGTCGAGAACTGTATTATCTTTCTTTTGCTTAACAATAGAATACGGCAACAAAAATTCTGCGTCATTTGAGTCATCTCCCGAACTTCTGAATCTCACTATTTGTCTTTGTTGTTTGTTTTTTGTATAATTTCCGTTGAGGGTGAGTTTACTACAGGATAAAGACCATTTGGACCAGCTATAGGTTCTTCTAAGGATGCATTTGAATTAATAGATTGCATTTGAGCTCTATTCAATTCTCTGCCTTTGTTTTCTTAAAATATTTGTGGCTTGCCTCCATTGTCACCATTACCAATCGCCATTTTTCTTAAATTTCTCTGGTTTTGCACAAAATCCCATTCTAGATTTTTTTTAGTCCTATCACACTAAAAAATTGTCTTTTCACACTTACAAGAGCAAATATTGTACAACCGTCTGGCTTCATATTTATTATTTTTTCTGTAAAAAAATAGTTTTTTTGCCTTTAAAAAGTTTGATGATGGTCTAATATTTATTGTTATATTGCAGTAATAAAGGAGCCTGGTCTACCTTATATACGGACTATTTTTTTGTAGAATAATAAGGCAGTTTACTAACAGTTTTTTAAAAGAAAAATGCAGAAACTGAAGAAATGAAATTAATAGCAAGTGGTATAGCAACCAAAATAAAAAATAGCCTAAATATATGAAGTATTATTTTTATTTATATGAAGCATTATATTTAAATTTCTGCTACTATTTCTATGTTAAATTCTACTACCTAGATATTTAGGAAGTTTTTCGACGAAGACGTGACAACGTCGCATTTATGTCAAGATCAACTGTACACGTCAACGTAGTTGTTGTGGTTAGGTTAAGTGTTTTTTTTACAATCTTCGTTCAAAGTCTGAAATTTCGCTTTTAATACTTAACAGCGAAGTTCAACTTTCATTTTAGTTTCAGCATTGACGTTATTGGGTGCATCTTTTTGTGAAAGGTATGTTTTTACATTTTTATACTTTTTGCTTTTATTTACTTATTAGTTAATTTTGTAGATAATCTACAGCAAAATGGGTCGTGTTTTTGTAATTGGTGTTGGAATGACAAAATTCGATAAACCAGGCAAACGGGACGATGATTATCCTGAATGGGGAAAGGAAGCCATTCTCCAAGCCTTAGGTGATGCTAAAATCAACATGAAGGAAGTGCAACTTGCTACTGCGGGATATGTGTATGGAGATTCAACTTCAGGACAAAGGGTCATCTATGAAGTAGGTATGAGCGGAATTCCAATTTTCAACGTTAACAATAATTGTTCTACTGGATCCAGTGCTTTAATGTTAGCAAAAGAATTGGTAGAATCTGGTAAATGTGATTGTGCTCTCGCTGTAGGTTTTGAAAAAATGGAAAGAGGTAGCTTATCATCTAAATTTAATGATAGAACAAACCCCATGGATAAACATGTTGAAGCTATGGCTGAATTGGCAGATATAGTTAATGCACCGATGACGGCACAACTATTTGGTAATGCTGCAATAGAACACATGAAGAAATATGGAACCAAACCTGAACATTTTGCCAAAATTGCATATAAAAATCATAAACATTCTATTAACAATCCAAAAAGCCAGTTTCAAGATGAATATTCATTAGACCAAATCCTTCAATCACCCAAAATTTATGGTCCCATAACCAAGTTACAATGTTGTCCAACTAGTGATGGAGCTGCAGCAGCCATAGTTGCCTCTGAAAGATTTGTTAAAGCTCATGGATTAGAGTCCAGAGCTGTTGAAATTCTTGGAATGGAGATGGCCACTGATTTACCATCCACATTTGCAGATAAAAGTTTAATGAAAATCGTAGGATATGATATGACTAAGTTGGCAGCTGAACGTTTATTTAGAAAAACAAACAGAAGGCCCACTGATGTTCAAGTTGTTGAACTTCATGACTGTTTCTCAGCAAACGAACTAATTACTTATGAAGCTTTAGGACTGTGTCCTCCAGGTAAGGCAGGAGAGCTTATAGATCGTGGAGATAACACTTATGGAGGAAAATATGTAGTTAATCCTAGTGGAGGATTAATTTCTAAGGGACATCCTTTGGGTGCAACAGGAATAGCTCAGTGTGCAGAACTTACCTGGCAATTAAGAGGTGAAGCTGGCCCAAGACAAGTCCAAGGGGCTAAATTAGCTCTGCAACAGAATATTGGTTTAGGAGGAGCTGTAGTAGTAGCTCTGTATCAATTGGGCTTCCCTCAAAACCGATCCCAGGCTACTAGTGCCCCATCTGGTCTAGGTGGAGATTTGATTGGAGGAGATAATTTTGAAGCCTCTAAATATCTAAGGATTCTTCAACAGGCGATGAACGAAGATGAAGATGGATTAGTAGAAAAGCATAGAGGAGTCTATGGATTGAAAGTAGTGAAAAAATCAGGTGAAACTGGATATTGGGTGATCAATACTAAGGTAGGCAAAGGAAAAATAGAATTTAATGGAAAAGACAAGCCAGATGTTACGTTCATTGTTAAGGAAGAGGATGTATTAGAATTATTGTCTGGCAAAATTCCACCACAGAAGGCATTTTTCCAAGGAAAAGTAAAAATTCAAGGAAATATGGGTGTAGCCATGAGATTAATAGAATTACAGAAAACAGCAGCTGCCAAAATTGAGGTACTTAGAGCTAAGTTGTAAATTATGCAAAGAGTAAATTTCTTAACTTTATGGATTGTGTACACTAAGGTTTTATTTTATCTTTTTGGGAGTATATATTATATTATAATTGACAAATTATATAGGTACTTTCTTGTTTTACATATCACTTCCTATAAAAAATATTGTACACACTGTACCACAACGACTGACTCCTTTATATAAACAAATATGTAAGTATAAATAATTGCTCTGTTATCTCCTTTTTATTACATGTTTTTGTTGATAATTTCAGAATCTATTGACCTTTTTCGAAGAACTTTCAATATTTTGTTATAAGTTGAAGATCAGTGTAATTTTTGTTGAGATATTAAATTCAATTGTTTTTGTTTCCAAAAAGGTTGTCCCATAAATAAACTAGATACATCATTGTATATTAATAATATGCAACCTTGATGTATGTGCTAATAAATCCTCTTTATTAATTAATGGTTTTTCATACTCATAGTTCCAAGTCCACTAAAAAAGCATTATTATAATAATTATAAATTTATCAGATACTTAATTGATTGTACAAGTTTTATTTGATAATAAATGATAGGGTTCAGATATGGTGTGGGTATGAAAGTAGTTCATTGAGACATATTTCTCTATGTTAAACTAGTAAAATAAATATTTGTATTTATTTCAGCTTCGACAAGATACACATTTTCGTTACACTAGCAAAAGTAGCAATAAAATATTTATATATCTTCAAAAGGAAAATATATACAGAGCTCAATAAAAATTGATCAATTTTTTCAGAATATAAATTTGTCTTATTCTGTCTGTTATGTATCCTACATCAGTCATCACATTTTCACCAAAGTATTATAAGTCACATAATGTGGCTTTTACCACATTTTTTTTTGTTTTGATACACTATATATTCTATAATATCTAGAATTTTTCTTTGTGTATTTTGTTGCGTAAATTTTGATAAGATGCTTACCATGTTTTGGGAGAAAGTGCATTCAATGAGAATATTTTCGATAGACCGATTCTGATTTTGAAGAAAAGTATGATTTATGATACTTTGGTAAACACTACTATTTATATTGAGGCTGTCATGGACGTATAAGCACAGATCTGTGTTTATATGTCCATGGAGGCTGTAAATTGAGTCTCATAACTGTGCATAATGTTCATTTTACTATTGTTTCCATAGCAACTAGTGAAAAGTAAATGTAACATACTATATTAAAAGAAATCTATAAATGTGGTATAGGATATTCATAGGAAAAAATACTGTCTTACTGTTGGTGGTTATTATTATATATTACTTGTTTTTATGTAGCCAGTAATATTGTTTTGTATAATTTTATATTATTATGTAGTCATTTAATAAACTTTTGCAACTATTATTGATTTGTTTTATTTCTAAAATTACCCTTAAATAATAAAACCTCAAACTCTTTTATTCTCCTTAATAATACTGTTTTTATTGTGTAATTTGAGCATCTTATTTTTTAAAAGTCATTATGTCTGTAATAAATATTAAATATTCTCATTTTCTATTGTTTAATATTTTATTGTACTTACTGTTTAAAAGTTTTTTTTATATGAAGTAAATTTGTATTTGAAATTGCTTTTTTAATTACTTTAAACTTTATAACCTTTGTGAGTAATTTAATGGATTGTTATCTGTTTCTTGTAACAACAACATTTAAAAGCTTTTTAAAACTGTTTTTTAATAATTGTTCGCATAATAAATTTAAAAATAACTGTTAAATCAAATTGGTCAATTAACAGTATTAGTATAAAATGTTTAAAGATGAAGATATCAAATTGATATAAACAAAAGATTCAGCCAAGAAGATAAGTTGCTTTTCAACTTTTATGGTAAAAAGAAGAAGCTAATACAAAAAGATGTAGGTCATAATATAACAGGAAACAAGTTATATAAAGCGATACAAGACTTAAGAATTCTTGTTATACTGATAAAGTTGGTAAAGATGACAATGTCAAAAGTCATAGGTAAAGTAAAATACCTACTCCTCATTCTTTGAATCCTTGTCAGGGCATTGTCTTCTTCCTTCTTGTATGTGGACTTTAAAGCTTGTTTCTTCTTCTATGTTAGCCTCCTAAATTGTTTAAATTGTTGCACCATGTTTTTCTTGGTCTTCCAATACTTCTTCATCCATTTGGTGACTTATGTCATGCTATTCGTACTATTCTATCCTCTGCCATTCTACTGATGTGTTCGTTCTACTCCTGATTTCCTTTTTTTTTGTCACCCATTAATTTGTGTCTTCTATATTGCATGTTCTTATGTTTTCACTTCTCTCCCTATCCAACAGATGTTTCCCTGATATTTGTCAGAGTATTTTCATCTCTGTGGTTTCTAGTAGTCATCTCGTTTTAGATGTGTCGGGTCTTGTCTCCGCCTTGTATGTTAATATAGGTCTAGTTGCTGCTTTATAGATTCTTGTTTTTGTGTTTTGTCATAGGTGTTTGTTCTTCCAGATTGTGTCATTAAGAGATCCTGCCGCTGTACTTGCTTTTAAGCTTTGTTGTCGTACTTCTTCAACATATCTGTAACTGTATATATATTCCCAGATATCTAAACCTTGCTTCCTGCTTTATTATTTTTCCATCAATTTCGCTTTTACACCATAGTGAATATTTAGATGTTGTCATACATTTGGTTTTTTCTGCCGATATTATCATATTGTATTTCTTAGCTGTTGTATTGAAGATATGTGTTAATCTTTAAAGCTCGTCTTCTGTCTCGGCGATTAATGCGGCGTCGTCTGCATAACATAATATTTGGATTTCTTTCTTCCCCATTCTGCCCAAAGAGAAGTGGTCTTAATGAGTCACACTGTCTGACTCAGCTTTGTACTGGTATACACTGTGTTAGTTTTCCATTTATCTTTGCCTCTATTCGATTATGGAGGTAGATGTTTTCGATAGTTTGTATAATATTGATTAGTATGTTTCTTTTATACAGTAGGTGTACGACGTCTTCTATATGGATGCGATCGAAAGCCTTTGTCAATTCTATAAAACATAGATGTGTTGGTTTATTGTACTTGATGGCCTTTTCTGTGATTGGCGTCTACGCAGGATCTTCTGGATCTGAATCCTTGTTGTTCATCTGATAAAGTTGTTAGTTTATTGATTTTGTTGGTTAGGACTTTTGTGGTAAGCTTAAATGCGGTGTTCAGTAGATTTATACCTCTATAATTGTTGGGGTCTTCTTTATCTCCTTTCTGAACATTGGTATCATTATGCTGTTTCTCCATGCGTCTGGTATCTTGCAGTGCAATTTTAATTTTTGTATAAGTTTTGTCTTCTCAAGGGTTATACTTTCTTCTCTGTGTTTTAGAAGCTCGTTGGTTATTCCGTCTGGTCCTGGTGGCTTTCTATTTTTGAGTGAATTTATGGCTATCTGTACTTCCTGAAAACTGATTTCTATTTCGTGTCTGAATTTAGGTACGTTATTGTGTTGATTATTATTTTCCTTTTCTTTAAACAGTTCCGTTAGGCATCTTTCTCATTCGTTTGCTGGTATGTTATTGTATTCCTTCAATTCTTCCATTTCTTTCCGTTGGTCTCTTATAAATCTCCATATTTGTTTTTGTGTACCGTAGAAGTCGCTTTCCATCCTTTTTGTAAACTGTTCACAGTGTTCATTTCTTGTTCTTACAAACTACTTTGTTTCATTTCGTATTCTTCTATAGTTGTCTCTTGATTCTGGGGTATTTGATGTTTTGTACTTCGTGTAGACCACTCGTTTCTCTTTACATTTCTCTTTTATTTCTTTTTTGAACCATGGTGTATTGTTGTTTCTTTTGTTCAGTATGACTTTGCGCTTTCCTAGAGCTTCTGTATTAAATTATATAAGCATTATATAAGTATTATATTATATAAGCATCGGAAGAAGACGAATTTCATGGCTAAAGAACCTGAGAGAATGGTTTGGATGCATCTCAAAACAACTATTTAGAGCTACTGCCTCAAAAATTAAGATAGCTATGATGATTGCCAACCTCCGTAGCGGAGATGGCACCTGAAGAAGAAGAAGAAGAAGAAGAGCTTCTGTTGCTGCTTCTTCAATGTTGTTTTTAATTTTCTCCCAGCTCGCGCGATCTTCGATGTCGTCTATTTGTTTCAGCTGTATCTTCTGTGCTAGCCTCCTTTGGTACATTTCTCTTGTAGAGTCGTTCCGCAGTGATTCTACAATGAATTTTTCCTCGGTTATTTCCTGTAGAAAATTTTGTTTTGGTGTTATTTCGGATATCTAGAATTTGCTTTGGGTGGGCATTGTGATACTCTAAATGCTGTTAGCTTGCTGCGATCACTTCTCACCAGTCTTCATTTCATCATCATCGCGTAGCGCTACAACCTTGGCTCTTGGGTCTTGGCTGACTGTACAACTTTTTTCCAATTTGTTCGGTCTTCCATCAACCTACTCAATTGGAATGTTCATTTTCCGGAGATCTGCTTGTAGTGGTCTTTTGCCTGTGGGAATCTGTGGGACCCATACCAGTTTTAAAAGTCTCTGCTTATGCAGTCTGTGCACGTGGCCTGCCCATCTTAGTAGCTGTGATTTAATTTCTTGGACAATATTGGCGTCATTGTAGAGTGCTTTTAATTCGATATTGGTTCTGATTTTATACTGGTTTGTGGTGATGTCATGGTGAGGTCCGAAAATTTATTTTAGTATTTTTCGTTCAAAGCGTCTGAGCTTTTCTTTGTTTGCTTTGATCATGGTCCACGTTTCGCATACGTATGTTATTACAGGTCTGACGATGGATTAATAGATTTTGATCTTTGAACTTCTTGTGAGATTTTTTGATTTTATGAGCTTATTTAGTGCGAATAGACAGCGGTTTGCAGATTGGATTCTGTCTTTTATTTCTTCAGTAATATCGTTGTCAGTTGTGATTACGGCCCCCAAATACTTAAAACGTTGTACTCTTTCGAAATTGTAGGTATTGACCGTCACATTTTGTCCTATTCTGTCTCTTCGTGTCGTTCTATTTATACACATATATTTCGTCTTCTCTTCATTAATCTTCAGCCCTACTTCACTTGTTGCTTCTTCCACCTTGTTGAAAATGTCATTCGTGGATAGGATAGAGTCTCCAACGAGATCTATGTCATCTGCACGTGCGAGTAACAGCTTGGGATCTTTAACCGATATCAATTCTGTTTTTATTTCGGCCAACCTCATGGATTTCTCTAATACAAGGTTAAAAACTAGTGGAGATAACGCATCACCCTATTTGAGTCCACTGTTGATTTCAAAGCTGCCACACAGTTTATTATTTACACGTACTTTAGATATTCCACCCTCCATACAGACTTTGGTCATCCGAATGAGTTTCTTTGGTATTGAGAATTCCGCCATGGCATTCCATACTTGGCTTCTTTTTACGCTATCATATGCCTGTCGAAAGTCTATGTAAAGATTGTACAGGGATCTGTTATACTCATATC